ATATTATCATTTACAGGGTGTGGTTTGCTATTCCCATTAATGTGTTTTCAGTAAAACCCATTACTAGATAATAATTACCATGCATGGGATATTATCATTTACAAGAAGCAAATAGAGATGAATAACAACAAGAATATCGTGTAGATTCAGCTTGAAATTAACTTTAATAGATCAAGAACAAACAACAACAAATCCAATGATATAACTCTATTGGCTTTAGTTGTTTCCATCTCACTGTGAAAGAAATGTGACTAACTATAGTATGCAGTAGCTGTGTAGCATTATACAGAAAGTGTTATTTTATTTGCTGCATCACCAAAAAAGCACTGAGTTTTAGAAGTGTTAACAGTGAAATGGAAATGACTCTAATGCCAAGGCTACAATGGTTATAATGACAATAGGCTATAATGACTTAACAACTTGTTACATAACTAAAATACTTTGACTTTATGAACTTTATCAACCGTAATAATTCCCTCTTTCAGAAAAAAATGAGCGAGTAACTTAGCACATGCGTTTTTTTCAAATTGTGTTGCATTTTCGTGAAGCTTGAATTTTGTCACATAAGACATGAGTTGTAACAACTTGTTACATAACTAAAATACTTTAACTTTATGAACTTTAGACCTATCAATGCTGCTCAGTGRACACTCAACCTTAATAATTTCCTCTTTCAGAAAAAAATGAGCGAGTAACTTAGCACATGTGTTTTTTTCAAGCTTTGTTGCATTTTCGTCAAGCTTGAATTTCTTCACATAGGAGATTAGTTGTCTTTTTGACACCTCTTTAAAATTAAGAACATTAAAAGCTACTTGTATTATTACTTGTGCAGCCAGAACAGGTGGTAAATTCTCTTCTGATTCTTCATATTCATCAAGTGATTTGGTCTTGCATTTGCTAGTCTAATGGCACATAAGATAAAATAAAATAATAATGGTTACCAATACTGCCAATGATTTTTTTATCTTTACCCCAAAGTCAATGTTCAATGACCCAAGAAAACAGTTATGGTTTCTTGATATTCACAAAATGTAGACATTTAAGTACCTGTGTCAGTGGAATACTGTCATCATCTTCACTATCATCACCACTGTCTGTTTCAGGGATACTTTGTGGGGTTTCTTTGCTTTCTGCTCCCGACAAGTCTCCATCAGATTGTCCTGACAAAATTTCTGTTGACATTGTACTGCCCGAACAATCGGTATCGCTTTCAGTTCTTCTTTTTTTCGTTTTTCTTCCGTCTTCCTAGGAGAGTATAATGTTGATAAAAATAGAATTTGTATTAATTTGTAGCTGTAGCTGTTAATTTTACATGTGAAATTATATAGTCTTTTATTAAGTGCCGAAAGATTTTTTAAATCTGATTTTCGTGGTTTACATCTTTTCCTGGTGGATTTGGGTGTTTTATCTAAACTGCTCCCAGAAGACAATACGGTTGATTGAAAAGACAGTTGTTCCCCAATTGTCTTTATTCCACATGCTTCAAATTGCTGAGAACTACCACTTTTCGCAAGGTACACTAAGGATTGACCATCAATTTTTTGTTCTGTAAAAAAAAGTGACACCAGGAGAATTTTAGGTAAATTATTATGTCTCATAGTTTTGAAAGATCAAGGTTGTGTGTGTAAAGCTCTATATGAAAGTGGGATTTAGACAACAAATACAGGCCCGCAGGCTGCACAGGTATAGTGTGTAACGGAACTGGCTGCTAGAATGAGCATTTCATAACAAAATGCAATCTTAAAAACAGTTCATAGCAAAAGAATTTTAAAATAGCACAATAAAAACAAGAGAAAAACCAATACTACAGAAAAAAGGATTTTATAAAGTTGGAATCTATCATATAGTGTTATGGTGGGAACTAGCGGTAAACTAGTGTGAGCTGCGTCGGTGTTTCTAMAGAAACAGTTRTGTAAAAAGATAAATTTAACACCGTAAAAAAGTATGTGGAATAACTTACTGACGTTTCGGATGTTAATCCTTCGTCGGAGTAAAGAGAGAGAACTATATAGTGTTACTCGTCTTTAAATTCAATTCTTAATCCATAGGGATATAATATACGACCCACTTTCGAACTGAAACTATTTGGCGCGCTTTTCTCTGCCTATTTCGCAATAATGTCGGTCAACATGTTCAAAATGAAGCCAGTTTGACAGCTTTTTTCTCCACCTTGAAATTCTATATTACCGTATTACGTATGCGTATAAAAAATAATCTAAATGACATCCATTCCATTGCCACAGAACGCTGTTACTTCCCGAATTATTGAGATAAATCAAATCGAGTTTACAGTTGACGATTAGTTTGCCGCCTACCTTCAAAACTTTTCGCAATTTCGTCTGAAAATTGCTTTGATTTCAACCACTGCGTCACTTCTGCAACTGAGAATTCCTCTATCTCTTTATCCTCCTGCATTTTGACGTACTGAGACTTTGTCACAAAGTTTATAATTCAGCTTCTTGTTGGAGAACTTGTTGAAACGACACCGCAGTCAAAAAGGGAAGGAATCTTGCTGAAATCTACCCAAAAGAGCGCCAAAATTGGCTTATCTGATTGGCTAGTTTGCTGACTAGTTAGGCTTATTTCATTGGCTAGTTTGCGTGTAGCCTCGTTTCCATTATCATCTCTGGAGGTCTGGGTTCTAGAATGATGAGAAAATGGCGGCAGATATAAGAAGGGCCAGGAAGAGACCTTGGAAAAGATCTTCTATTGTTCGTTGTCACTGTACAGATCTTAGTTACACTCATGTACATTGCCCTTGCGAAAGATGTCATGGGAAAGCAGTTTCATCTTCTTTGGAATATATTCATTGGAACAATACAAATAGTGTCGAGAATGCCGATACTGCTGATGAATTCACAGTCGACTTTGATGATTGTAGCAGCAGTACAAATATTGTTGAAGATAACTCAGTGGATTTGAGCATGATAATGATTGCTCTGTTTCAACAGAAAACTCGTCTGCTCATGGAGAACCTGTGTCGAGTACAAACGCTAACTTAGAACCTGAGCAACAAAGTGAAAATGAAAGGCGGTTAAACGCCATTGAGTTAGAAGTCATTTGTACCATTCTACGGGCCATGAATCTAGCTGCACAAATGAATGCCAGCCTTAAAGACTTTGACGATGTTCTTCAATTCGCCAAGGATTTGTTTTGCCGTGAAGACCAAGATCTCGATAAATATTGGCCAAAAAATTGGCGAGAAACTAAAAAGCTCCTGGAAAATTACGGCTACAATGACCCCCAGGAATTATATATTTGTCTTGATGACTCTCATTATTGTTTATGGGACATTATGACTGATCCGTCGTCAAAATGTCGACACTGTAAAAAAGAAGGTTCAATAAAGTATTATTACTTGGGGCTTTCAGACAAAATTATTCTGTGGTGTCAAAATAAAGAAATGTGTCGAAAAATGTTGTCTCATTGGGACAACAAAGACCACTGGATTGAAGGAACTGGCTCAAACTTTCCGCTTAAAGAAATATGGGATGGAGCAAGGTTCAATGAACTTTCATGGTTCTGGAACCCAGATAGCATCTATATGCTGCCATTTAAGTGTCGATTTTGTCAGGCTGTTGTAAGTGCTGAGGAATAGAGTTATCTGAAGAAACCATAGATGGAGATTCTTACAATGTGCTCTGCAATGAATGTGGCTTTAGACAAGAACATACTCCAATATATACTTCTGGTGACCCTCGAAACATTGCATTGATAAGGGCATTGGGATGGGTGGCAACCATTTGGCGCACCTGGGAAACATAGCTGTGGTAAGCTAAACTGATCTTTAAAGGAGAAGTCCGATTCTTTGAGATCAATAGTGAAATAAAAGGTCTATACCCCATTGATGTTTATGCGAAGTCTTACCTTTGTAGCTGCATTTATAACCAAGAAAAGATACTTGAAAAGGTCACAGAAAAACGATGACTTCGACGGCGCCATCTTGAACATAACCGCGAGGGTCTGGACACGATGTATGACGTCACTGCGCGATGCGAAAACAACATGATGGCGCGAAAACACAAATAAAAATGCTTTAGGATCGCTGTCTGTAGTGCTTTRCSTTTTTAYGTTATTTTTTTCTCGAAAAATATGCCTTACTGTCTTGTACCAGGCTGTAAAAATGATTCCAAATATACCAAAGATATATCTTACCATYGACTTCCAAAAGACAAGAAATTATCAGAAGTATGGCTTGAAAAARCGAGGCGAAAAAACCCTCCAAAGAATAGAGCTTCGTGCTACGTCTGTAGCGCGCACTTTGAGGCTGAATGCTACCCTATTTCTTACAAATTTCAATTAACTGGCCAAAAAGAAAAGAAGTCGTTATTACCTGGTTCTGTGACAACAATTTTTGAACGAAATAAAGAAAAAAGAGAGCGAGTTATTTCAGTCAAAAGGAGACAAAGACAAGAAAGGGAAGAGGTAGGTTAAATAAAATTCACACACTTAAGTTTATGAAATTTACTTGATTTTTTACTTGATTTTTTAATTGATTTACTTGATTTTTTAGCTTAAAAAACATGTTTTTCCCCTCTCAGGTTATTGATGAGTTGTTAAATAGCTCAGATGACATGCCAGTAATGATGGATACCTGTGAGGATACTGATCTAGCTAATCAACCAGAAGTATCCAGCAAATGTGATGCAGGCACCCAATATGACTTTTGTGATTTCCTTGGGTGTAAAAGGACCATTGGCACACAGACTGTAAACACACGTATTAGAACAGAGTCTGATAGAAAATTCTTAAATCAAGTACACCAGTCAACACTAGAAAATGAATCCAACAATCCGCTATATGATCATACATATTGTACAAGTATGCCTCCACTTCCATTCTCTATTAGTAGTCCAGACCTCGGCGCATCATCTGAAATTAAGGAAACATTAGATGAAACAAATCCTGAATCAAATGTAGCTGTTGATGGGGAGCAATATGATATGAGCAGTAGTGATGATGACAATGATGATAATCATTCTAGTGATGAAGACTATGAATATCATAGTTCTGATGAAAGTAGCAGTGATTCAGAAACTGAACTGAACTGAACTGAACTGAACTGAAAGTAAGTATGCTGACTATTCATACTTTGTGTGTGCAAAACCATGAAAAAACCTGGAAGTCACAACCAACTAGCGGAAAAAACAACACCCCTATATTAAATTTGCTAATACCAGCAGCAATCGTATGTACAGGGGGGGCTTTTCAAGAGTTTTCTAACTTTGCAGATGCTTTACAGCTTAAATTCATTGGAAAATCTTGTTTCTTTAAAATGCAAAACAATATTATATTGCCAGTTATCAACAAACAGTACAAAGCACAACAACAGAATGTAATCATGGATGTAAAACAAGGAATGCCTCTCAATTTATGTGGTGATGGAAGGTCAGACAGCCCGGGTCATACTGCCAAATACGGTACTTACAGTTTGATGGATGAGAATTCAGGTCAGATTCTAGACTTTTCCCTAGTTCATGTTTCCGAAGTCTCATCTTCTAATGCAATGGAGTTCGAAGGCTGCAAGAGGTCCCTGAACACTCTCACAAAAAAGAAAATTTCAATTAGATGCTTGACAACAGACCGCCATACTCAAATTACTGCACAGTTAGCCAAAAACTATCAATCCATCAAACATCAATATGATGTTTGGCATTTAGCTAAGTGGGTGGTGAAAAAGCTAACTAAAAAGGCTAAAACTAAAGCGAATTTAGAACTTAAGCCATGGATACGAAGTATATCAAACCATTTGTGGTGGAGCGCCAAAGAGTGTGGTGGTGATGCTGATGTTCTAGTGAACAACTGGGTATCCATTGTCAATCATATAGCTGACAAACATACTTGGAAGGAAGGTACCTAAATATTTAAAGCAAATTTTATAACTGTATAACTCAATAATGTTCACCTGATAGATTGATTACAATTAAATCCAAGAAATATAAAATTTACTTATTGTTACTCTAGCAATTCCTTATTATATTTGAATCAATGTGTTGTTGCATACAATCTATCAGCTATATTTTACAGTAAGTATTGATAGACTAAGAATATACATTGTATTTATTTGCCTTTATATTTATATATACTTAATGTAATTTWCTTTTTTAAAGCCATTTTTATTGGAAAAGCAAAGTTATTATTATTTAATGTTATATTTTAGGCAAGAAAACAGTGTCTTGCAAGCACCCAAAGCTTTCAAATAAARAACGCAAGRAAATTGCATGGCTAAAACCTGGATCAAGTGCTCATGTCGCTATGGAGGAAATTGTAAACAACAAGAAGTTGTTAAAAKATATAAAAATGCTTACAGAGTACCACCACACAGGCAATCTAGAAGTGTTCCATTCACTTATTTTAAARTATGCCCCAAAGAGAAAGCATTTTTCATATCAAGGTATGGTTGGCAGGACTCAGCTTGCTGTCATGGACCATAATTACAACTGCAACAGAGCTCAAGCAACAGTCACAAAGGGAAAGAATATTGGAGAAAGCAGGTATGTGACTACAAAAAGCTTCTTATCATATAATTATCACTTYAAATTATGTTTAATAATTATGTACTTTAATTTAGGTACAAGGTAGTTTTTTCCCAAAAACAGACAGGCATGGGTCGCAAAGCCGATACTGGAAAAGAAATCATTTGATTTTGTAAAGACGCTCTTGGATGACATGAAAGAATGCCAACAATSAAATCTTACTTTGCCACGACAGAAGGCTCCAGCATCCATTCCACAGAACATCGCAAAAACACCAAAGCCTCCAAAAGAGGAAGTGATCAAAGYACACAAGTCAAGAATGGCAAAAAAGGAAATCAAGAAATAGTTATGGTATGGTATGTACACATCAAAATTACAATACTCAAAGAAATTTTACAACAAATTTTTAAACCAGCCATAAAAATGTATAATTTGAATCATAATCTTAGTAATTTGTCGATGATTTCATACCTAATTTAACTAAAGTGCCTTGGATGTTGTAGGTACAAGTATAGAACAACAATGCATGCTTCTGTTATAGCAATT